GCCTCTAGGACCGCCAGCCTCGCTCCTGGACACCTGCGCCGTGTGTCAGCAGAGCCTGCAGAGCCGGCGTGAGGCGGAGCCCAAGCTGCTGCCCTGTCTGCACTCCTTCTGCCTGCGCTGCCTGCCCGAGCCGGAGCGCCAGCTCAACGTGCCCATCCCGGGGGGCAGCAACGGCGACATCCAGCAAGGTGAGCGGGAGGCCCTGCCTGGGGGCTGGCCTGAAGGGGGTTCGCGGGGCCGAGGAGGGCATGCTCGGGCCCGGGGCTGCTCCGGGCGGCGCGGTCCTGGGGGTTCTGGGGTGAAAGACGCGGCCCCCGGAACAGTTTCCACATCCAGAGGAGCTGGACCGCCGGAGCTGCGGGGAGGCGGAGGGAGGGGCGCCCGCTGCGGGAGGCTGGGGGAGGGGACACCGCTCCTGGGGAGGTTTGCGAGGTGCGGATAGGGGCCAGGCGCAGGTTGGGGAGCTGGTGGAACCGGACAGGGAGAGAAGAGGGGGTCTGGGAAAGGCTGGTGCGAAGCGTTTCGGGAGGCAAGGCCCGGCGCCGGGAGAGGTGTTGAGGGAGCAGGTAAGAGATGAGGGTTTGAGGATGAATTGTCCTAGTGGGAGAGGACTTGACCTGTTCAAGACTAAGGGAAAGGACTAGGGACTAAATAGAGGATACAGGACATCGGAGAGTTTGGGGTTAAGAGAAGGCATCTGGTAGAAAGTAATTTTAAGATGACATTGGGAAGGAGAAACTCTGGCAACGAAAATAGCTGTGAGAGGCCTGCATGGTTAGGGAAAAATACTAAGGTTTTGGGGTGAAGGAGAAATGAACTTTGAAGGGAATTGGGAATTAGGGAGAGCCGGGCATGAATTTCAGTTCATTGTACATTAATGAGCCCCTAGTGTTCCGGGCACTGTAGGATTGAATAAAATACTCAGTGAGGAGCTCTCTCCCAGTCTAACGGGAAACAAATAGAAAACGTATAGCAGTAGAGGTGGGTTACTTGCTGCAGTGGTTGTGGCACAATCTACAGAATGTTAGGGAAACATCACTGAAGAAAACAACCTTGAGCAGGTTTCTTGAAAGATGAGTAGCTCACAGAGCATCTTACACATCCCTGCAGTTAAGGGATGTTTAAGGTGATGGGTGGAAATTGGCTTGGATTCATGGGCTGAATAAGTAAGGGGTCTGTCTGCAGTCCCTTACCTGAAGCCCATGGGTCCAGGTGTGCTTTAGACTTCAGAATAGTTTGGAAAAATTCCTTCTTCCTGGTAAGGTCTCTCATACTCCAACGGGGTCTGGGTTAACAACACATTAATATTTCTATGGTAAAACATACGAATATCACACTAATAGGATAGGCAATAAATAGCCTTCCACAATTCAGGGTGGGTTTTGTTGCAGATTTATCAAAAACATTTAAAATTTTACAAAGCTTTTGAGTTTTGGAGCTGCAGGTAAGGGATTGTGGACCTGTACTTAGGGGTTTGGGATTCAGCCTGTAGGGTGCATCTTTCCGTGGTAGATTAGAGTTCCTGAAGGACTTTCATGTAAATTGGGTAAAAGGATCATATCTGTGATCCAGAAAGATTATTTGGCACATTGAAGGGTAAGGGGAGGCAAGGCTGGAGGCAGCACCAATTAGGAGAATCTTGGAAGTAATCTAGTGAGAAATTAGCATTTGGGATGGGTAGTAAAGGACTGACATCAGGTACATTATTAAAGAAGGAAGCATTTTGCTATGGAAAGGTATGGACTTTGGGAGATATGTTTGAGTTTGAATGTTTACTTTCTCACTTCCTACTTGTAACTTGGACAGATTCATTCTTCTTAGCCTGAGTTTTCTCATTTGTGAAACAAGGACAAAATTACCTACCTCATGGGGTTATTGATAGTACGAAGTGTGTACAGTGACTAGCACATGGTAATTATTAATGAAGTGGCAGCTAGTTTTATTATTAGTAGTAACTAATTGTAAGTAGCCATGGGAATGGAGATGGGGGCATTGAGAGTTCCAGATTTCTTGTTTGATGGGTGGCAGTGCTATTAATGCAAATAAAAGAATTCAGGCCCTGGCCACTGTGGCTCGGGTGAGCATTATCTAATGCACCAAGAGGGTGCCGGTTCAATTCTCTGTTGGGGCACATGCCCCGGGTTTTGGGCTCGATCCTCGGTATGGGGTACACAGGAGGCAGCCAGTTGATGTTTCTCCCCCCGCTTCCTTTCTCTCTGTAAAATCAATAAAAACATATTAAAAAAAAAAAGAGCTTGGGCACCTAGCGGGGTGTGTGTGTGTTGGAGGGAGGATATAATTTCAATTTTGGTTGTTTTGGGTTTGAAGTATTGAGACACATACAGGTAAGAATGTTAAGAATAACGGTTTGATCGATGGAGAAGATACTGAATGGTAATGGATGTATAGAAGGTGGATAATGGATGTATAAGTAACTGCTCATGGCCTCATGAGTGTAGTAAGACATGGGATTCAGTGCTCTTGTGGGAACCTGGGTTAGGCGGGAGATTTAGAGGGAGCACAGGATGAAAACTGTGTTTGACTGCTGTGGCTAAGGGGCTGAGGTAATGCAGTTGGCTCTCTGATATTTATGCGGGCAAAAGAACAATAGTCCGTAAGTTCCCTCTTCATTTCTCCACCCTCTCTTTTTGGACTAAGTAGATGGGACTAAATACTATTATCTTAAGGAAATGTTGCTTTCTAACCAGTATGTATGACAGATGAAGTCTGGAAGCCACCATGTTTTTGGGCATGGAGTCTAGAAAATAATTTGTTAGTATTAACTCTTGTATTTATCTTTTGCTTTGCTCTTTAAAAAACTGAGCATGCTGTTCTAGAAGGAACACTGGGTTTGGAGTCAGGCAACAAAGTTCTGCCACTTGTTTTCTGGTTCCCTTAGGTTCATAATGTTTTTGTCCTTCAGTTTATCTCTAAAATGTAGCTAGTAGTCCTTCACTTATATCTCACTGAGTCAAATTAAATAATAAATGTGAAAATGTGCCCGGCAGGTGTGGTTGAGTGTCGACCCAGGAACCAAGAGCTCATGGTTCGATTCCCGGTTGGGGCACATGCCCGAGTTTCAGCCTCGATCCTCTGTAGGGGGCGTGCAGGAGGTAGACGATCGATGATGTTTCTCTCTCATCCTCTCCCATCGATGTTTCTATCTCTCTATCCCTATCCCTTCCTCTCTCTCTAAAAAAATCAATCAATAAAAAAAATAGTTTCCAGGTTCCTCCATCTTTAAAAAACAAAAGTGAAAATACTTTTATAAACTGAAATGCTTTGCAGATGCAAGGATTCAACAACCTGTGATTCCATCTCTGGTCTGAGGAGCCATAGGTGGTAGTTTAATTCACCGTCTTAAGTGGTTCTGAAGTGATGACAAGTACATTACCCTCCCTCCTCACCTTTTTTCTGTTCCTCTAATACACCAAAGTTATTCACACCCTTGAGCTGTTCCCTGATCCGATAGCCCTCCAAGTGTGGCTTCTGGACTAGCAGCAGCAGCATCTGTGAGCTTGTTAGGAATGCAGATATTTGTGCCCACTATAGACCACCTAAGCAGCAGTCTGTTTTAACAAGTCCTCCAGGTGATTTTGATGCACACTAAGTTTGAGAACCAGTGGTCTTGAGTGAATGGCTCCTCACTTCACATGTTGCCTCCTGAGAAAGGCTTTTTCTGATTGTTTTTCTTTTTTTTTTTCTTTATTGATTTAGAGAGACAGAAGGAGGGAGGGAGGGAGAGAGAGAAACATCCATCAGCTGCCTCCTGCACGGCCCCTACTGGGGATGGAGCCCACAACACGGGCATGTGCCCTGACCAGGAACTGAACCAGCAACCTTTTGGTGCTCAGGACGATGCCCAGCCAACTGGGCCACACTGCCAGGGCTCTCTTCCCTTTTATTAAATACATAGCTGTATGAGGCCAGGTTTTCTTCATATTCCTCAAATAAAAACTCATCACAACAGATTCAGTGCAAAAGCATGTATTGTCATCTTCTATTAAACCAGACATTAAAGAGATTTAAAAATTTAAAAAGCCTCACTCTTTACTAAAACTTTTTGTTTTGGAAAATATAGTTATTTCTGGTAATGTTATTTAAGCCGGTAATGAGTTTATTTTTAAATAAGTTAATAAAATACTTAATTTCAATAAAAATTATTAATTACTAACAAATTAAAATAATAAGATTAAAAATTCTTTATTTCTAATACTACACATATTGATGAATAAAACCCATCTAAATAAAAGCTCTTTGAGAATCTCTATAATTATGAGTGTAAGAGGGATCCTGAGACTAAAGTTTGAGAGCTACTCCCTTAAAGAGACAGTCAGACAATGATAATATAGAGTCATTGGGAGGAATGTCAGACCATGGAATAGTAGAAGATTGTAGATTCATACATTTATAGTCCTTCATTTTGGGTTACCCATCACAGTTCATAAAGAGCTTGTTCTCCAAAGAATGTGAAGGTGAAAAAAGTAGTAACTGGTTGACCTTTTGTAAATCTAATCCTCCCCCTCCCCCATATTAAGACTGGTTGGTTGAGTTATATCATTTTACTTTCCTGAGGTCAAGTGTGGAGGTTGGGCTCATAGTATTGGATACATTAGCCTATGTGTCTTCTTTGGCCACAAACTACCTTTATTTCTGTCCTCCTTCTAGAATGGACATTGGTCCCAAGGGGAAGTGGAGAAAAAAAAAACAAGGATGAATGAACATAAATACATCATTTTTAGAAAAATATTTAAAGTCTGTGCTTTAATGATGGGTAAATAGCATGAATTATGTGGTACTAATGAATAACACTTTTTGAATGCTTATTATATGCGGTTTATGTTGCTGCTGTTGTGAATTACTTGTTCCTGTGTCTTCTATTTTTCTTTAGCTTGATTATGTTTTTTGTTTTAATGTACAGGAATTCTTAATAAGTTCCAAAAAGTTCCAAGATCTTTTGTTGGTTATGTAACTTGAAGATTTATTTATTCTAAGCCTACTATGGTTTAGTGTGGTAGCTAGCCTCCAAGATGTCCGTGTTCCTTTCTCCTAGTATTCACACCCTTCTATAGTCTCTGCCCACAGTGACTCAGGGCTACTCTGGGTGACCAAGAGACTACAGCAGAATTAACAATGACTTCTGAGGCTAAACCGTTAAAGGCATACAGTTTTATGCTTACTCCTTGGA